ATCCCCCCCAGGGAGGAGCAGCAGCAGCACTGAGGCACCCAGCCACCCGCTGAGCAAGCCAGGTTGAGGGCTCTGCCCCCACGTAAGTAACAACCACAGCCCCCTGCCCACCTCTGCACTCGGGGGGGGGCTCAGGCTGCGCCGTCCCCACGGCTTTCAGCACCGCCACCTTTCAGACCTTCTCTGAAAGCTCCTCGCTCCTCATCCCTGGGACAGGATGCGCGCCGCCGCACTTCGAGATGCAAATCTTTTACGGTGCCACTTCACAACCGGTTTAAAGTCTCTTGAAAGCACCTGAAATGGGGCTTTTTTGGTGTTCTTTTTAATCGCCGCTTTTCAGCGCGTGCCTGGAAACCTCTCTGACGGTATCTGTGAGGCTGTTAGTATCCCTTGGTGGCAGATACAATCCCTGTCCATTATCAGAAATAACGGTAACGATCAGAGGTCCGAGAATGTGTCTAGCAACCGTGGCTCATTCCCGCTGTTCGTTAGCTGTCAGGATCACATTAAAAGTCCTCCAGTACCTGCAAGGATGAGGAGAGGACCGTGACAGTGTTTGACATTTCAAGCTGCCGACGATCACTGAATTGTGATTCTCCTGCTGTCATAAATGTCCATAAACACACCCAAAAAGTAACGATTTGTTTGGGGTTTGTTGGTTTTTTTTAAGCCAAAACAATTTTTTTTTCCCCCGTATTGCTGTTGAAGGACAACTCCAAAGTCCACGGGCTCCAGGTTTGAGAGCCTCGCAGTCCTGTGCTTTGCACAAAAATATAATCAAAGGTCAAGTACAACCAATTGAAGGCTTTTAGTTGCAGCTGGGATAATTAGCACGGTGTAGAGACAAGCTCTGGATGCAAACGAGCGATGCCCAGACCTCACTGAAAACATCTTTGCTCTGCCGCTCGTTTCGAAGGCTCATCACATCCCGACCGTATTTTGCCTGCCTCCGGTGCTGCGGATGTGCCAGATCCTCTCTGCTTTGCCAAAGCTCGGCCACATGAAGGGCTGGTCCCAAAATCCTGCAAGCTCCATCTGTATCGAATTGCTCATTTAGGGGCTGTTTTTTCATAATTTGGAGGATTTTTTTATGAAAGCGTCTTGTGGTGTCGTTTGCATCTGCAGACCGGATCCCTCGTGGGACGCTTGCAGCAGGCTTAGCCTCTCCGGGCCAGCTCCAAAATTAATTAGGGCCCTTTACTGCAGCAAGCTTTTTATTTCCTTTGTAATTAACATTGACGAGCTTTTTTGCCAGAGCCCATCCAGGAGCGGATCCGTCTGGAGACCGACTCTTCAGCAGCTGGGGAAACATTACCTCCGTGCGCTGCCAGGTCCTGCCTGTGTTTGTTCTGCCTGGCTGCCTGCCCCGCATCCTTGCCCACTGCTGGGCAAGTGGAGGAGTTTTTGGGGCAAGCAGAGTCCCCAAAATTGTCCTCCCTGTCTGGGATTGTAGGAGCATCCTGGGATGCTCGTCTGGGGGTTTGTTTCCCATCAGGAAGGCACAGGCAGATTTATGGGAGCAAGGAAGAGAAATTATTTCCCTCCTGCTTGCCATGCTTCCCTTTAGAAATCCTCATCCCTGTGGCGGAGGGAGCTTTAGAGGTGAGATTGGAAGTTTTAAAATTAGCCTGGAGGTTTGGGAGTTAGGCAGGTGCTGGGATTGACCCAGAGGGATTGGAGGGGAGCAGGAGCTCCATCAGGATAACACAGTGGCCGAGGAATTTGTCTCGGGCTGCTCCGGCTCTTGCCGTGCTTTGGGGGTGCAGGTGGAAAAACTCAAATCCTTGCACCTAGCCATAATTTTTTGGGGTTG